GTGGTAAAACGTTTGCAAATGCGAGTAATCTCCTTCGCCACAAGAAGGTTGTTCATGCATATGGAACTCGTAATCTTGGGCAACAAACTGTTACGGTGAATGGAGTTACAGTTTTGGAACACCCATTTACTTGCATTGTAGCTGGGTGTACACAAAGCGGCAAAACCGCATGGGTAAAATCTCTCTTGGAGAATACTCAGAAGACCATACGTCCTGCTCCTCAACGTATCATTTTGGTGTTATGGTCAATGGCAACCCTCCTATTTTGATATGATGCGGACGATGCTTGGAATCAAGTTTAATCAAGGCATTCCCGACGATATCGACAACGCAGACTACTTGGACGTATCGCAACGGAATTTGATCGTACTGGACGATCTCATGGCACAATCTAGCAAGGATAAACGTATTGCTGAACTTTTTACCAAAGGAAGTCATCATCGACATTTGTCTATCATTTATATTGTCCAAAATATATTTCACCAGGGCAAAGAGATGAGAAATATCAGTCTAAACGCGCATTATATCGTGCTGTTCAAGTCACCAAGAGATAAACAGCAAATTTCTATGCTTGCAAGGCAAATAAATCCCGGAAAAGTACAAGAATTTATGAGGAGTTATGAAGATGCCACGAGCCGACCTCATGGGTACTTAATGTTCGATTTAAAGCCAACAACAGATGATCAACAACGACTCAAGACCAACATACTTCCCGGCGAGATTGCAAAGTTTATACACAAACAGTCGTATCGTCAACCACCACTTGCAAATGCAATGTATGATGCCGAACAGAGAATGAAAGAAATCATGGATGCACCACAGCTTAGCGCTGTGGAAAAAAGCAAATTATATTCTGATCAACTAAACCGATTTCTCACATTCAAAAATAAGATGGATGTCCCGGCTCAAGCCCCTGTTCAAACATCACCGTTAATGCCTGCAGAGATACAACCACAAGTGCCACGTACGCCTGTACCAGCGGAAATACCACCACCAGTGTCTGCTACTCATAAACCTAATTTCCTTACGCCACCACCAACAGAAGAGGAACGACCAAGACTGAAGCGCAACTTTTTCTACAATTGGATAGACTCTGCTGATTGAAAAGAAAGTGACTTGGCTATGATGAAACCGAAGCAAAGAGAGGATTATGAACGTTTTTTACTAAACGAAAGACCGAAATATATTCCAATGAAGCATGAAGATGTTGCAAGATTATCACCTGAGGATAGACAAGAATAGGAGAACTCTTTACAAATAACAAAAACACCTGGACGTTACGCTCTTAGAAGTAGACCGTACTAAATTTTGTAAAACGTTTTGAAGAAATAAATGTATTTTAAAACTGAAATCTTGTGTAAGCTTTTGCGTGCAAAGCCCGCTCTCCCGCCCGCGCGATCCGCCCGCCTGATAAGTGTACAAATATGTTGTACGTTAATATATGCATGCACCCAAGCGTCGCTAATGACTTAGCAACACATAACAACGTATATAACGACTACATGTTTTTATCGCAAAATATATTACAACTGTTCCAATTCTAACTTATATTCTTGATAAGCTTACTTATATCTATGAGGTTTGCTAAATAATGCTGCAGCAAACAACTCTAATGGCTTTTCTTGATCTTAATACGACAAATAGGTCAAGATACATTGTAGTTCATGACTCTCAATTCGATAAAAGATTGTGCTTGGATCAAATGTTTTAAAATTTATCAAAAAATACGGACATATCTCAAGATGTTTCTGTACCTAGCATAGTAAGCCAATCTTCATTTGATGGCGTGGGACGCGAAAAATTGCTGAAATCAGCGAAAATATTGACTGCTCGCCTGAACATGCATGTCCACGGCCGCCCGTAATAATATCCATATATATATCCATTAGGATCCTATTGGTTATGCAAATTCGTATCGGCTTAATCCTCTTAATTACTTCAACCTTTGTGTTTTACGCGTGGAGATTACCTGACAACGCTGCCATCACAATATTTATATTTCTATCAATAAAACTATATGTTTTGAAAATACCCTTGTAAACCATCGTTTAAAGTAACACAAGCAGTGTGCTATATTATTCGCAATGGCAAATCACTGCACTCGCTATTAGTAGTAAATCACATTCTGTGTAAAAAATGACTCCTGAAACCTCCATTCATAGTAAATCGACATTAATCCTTCTATTTCAGAAACTAGTTGTGATGCTATTTTATCGCCTGTCACGTCCGACCCAGGCTTGTCCGCGTTAATTGGTCGCGCTACCTGTCACATTCGGCCGAGTGACGTCATATATTTTGCATACTAGTTACTTCCGACACCTAAGTTTGCCAGATAGGAAGAATGTTCCATATTCTTGTTGTTCTGTTGATGAAGGAGGTCTGGTAGGATACAATCTTGCATTTCTTAGTTAGTACGGAACAAGATAAGGTCTGGATTGCTTGTTGCTCTCGTTTTCCTTTCATTGCCAAGATTTCTTGCTGGTAGTACATCTTTGTTTGCATAGACCAAACCATTAATCATTTTAAGAAATGTACCAAATCTAAATATTCGTGCCAGAAACTAATTGGTAGTAAGTTGGAGGCTATTAAACGTTGAGATGAGGAAACACATACTTAGAACATTGCTAACTCATTCGCATACATTACAAGACGAAACTCCTATGCGAAACTCCCACCAAAAATTGCAGCACAAATTGCAAGTGTATAAACGGGCCTTCAAAAAGCATTAATAATTCATGAGGAAAACACAAATGTGATAGAGATTTACGTAGATTTACATAAACTTTATCTTTGATCTTCTCGACTTACACAACGTATTTTTGCAAATTACTTCGCCAAAGAACTTACTAGGTCGATCGTTTTTGAAGCAATTTAAAACATTCGCAGTGCGTGTTTTATCAGCCCATAAAGATTAAAGATACCTGGCTTCGCCTCCTATCTTTATATCTGATAAAACACTGCTGCTCATGTTTTAAATAGTACTTAAAATTAAGACTATATCAGTTGTGGTATGTATGTAGTCTATGTACTATGTCAATCGAGTCTGTATTAAAACGGTGCATGGACGCGATGTCAGTGCATATATGCATTCAATAAAACAATTCGCCATGTTCGATTGGCTATATTAACCAACAATGATGGATCCGGGTTTTACAGCTCGTCGACTTTTATAACTCTTGCTCATTCATACACATGCCTTGGGGTAAAACTTGATGAAAACCTTAATTGGCATGAGCATGTTGAAATGATTTGTAAGAAAGTTGGGGCCGGCATAGGAGCAATGCAACGAATTAAGCCATATGTTCCTATAAATACCCTGCATACCATTTACAGAGCTTTGATAGAACCGTATTTTGATTATTGTAGTCCATTATGGGACGTCTGTAACCAACAGCTGAAAGATAAGCTTCAAAAGTTCCAAAACCGTGCAGCGAGAATTATAACCGGCGCCAGCTATGAAATAAGGTCTGCTGATGTTCTTCGATCCCTTGCTTGGGAAAATTTAGAGATACGACAACGTACAACTAAATCCACATTAATGTATAAAGTCCTGAATGATTGCGCTGGGCCGAACTTGAAGGATGCTCTAACGAGAAGGGACCTTGTTCAAACCAGTTATAATCTTCGCAATACTTATACTGACCTTACCCTTGCTAAGCCAAAACGAGAATTTCTAAAAAAAAAGCTTTAAGTATAGCGGAGCTAAATTGTGGAATAGTCTTCCTTCTGATGCGAAGCTAGCGCAATCAATTTATTCTTTTAAAAACTGCCTGAAAGTTTCACGCTAACATCTTCTAATATACTGTATATGCATGCTTTAGAAATATGGGTCACACCGTTTGGAACTTAATTCTTGTATTGTAAATAGTTGTATATAATTCTTTATTCTTTTCTATATCATATTTGTAATTTTTAATAGTAACAGACGTCCCTCGTGAAAATCAACAAATCGTTGATGAGGCTAACGTCTTTAAATAAAGTTTACATACAATACATACATACATTACGAAGCTGAATTTAAAGTATAGTAATGCAGCAGTGATGATATAATTTTTGGCTGAAAATAGGGGGAAACGCGTCATTTTTACAATTCTTAAGGATTTCACACTCATAAGGATTTTTATAACAATTCTTAAGCCTGATTTTGCTGATATACGAATAATTTAATACTTCATGTTTTCTTGTTTTCAGCGCTACCGCGCTGGTGTTTAATTCTCTTCCACTGATACAAACACAGTATTTAATCCAGTCCCCCCTCGGCAATCTGACGTCCGTGTTGACAAAAACGTCACTTGCTTCGACTAGCCATTCCGAAGTTGATGAGTGGACTGGGGACAAGCGTTAAAAAGTGCCCAAATTAAGAAATGAACCAAATAACTAAAAAGACCACCTCAAAATTAGTAAGTATACGAAGTTTGAAGACGTTTACAAGAATATCCTTCGAATAATAAGCCTTCGAAAATGGTGATATTTACTATGAAATGTATTGTAATTTTTGTTTTTGAGACGCGCGAAAACAATCTTTTAAATTCATGTGAACGTCTTCAAATTTTGTATACTTACTAATTTTGAGGTGGTCTTTTTAGTCATTTGGTTCATTTCTTAATTTGGGCGCTTTTTAACACGCGTCCCCAGTCCTCTCATCAACTTCGGAATGGCTAATTTCCCCCCCTTTCTCTTTGCCATATTTTTGCCATATCTTCGGATTCGGCAAATAATGCCACACGTCTATTTTGAGGATATTTTTTTAGGTTTATTAGTTATTTATATATACGACATTTATTTCACAAAATTCTAAAACCATTGTTTGCGTATTACGTTTATTAGGTGTCCAGCACATGTTCACAGCGTTTATTTTCTCAAATAATTGTCAGCTTTTGAGTTTATTTATTAATATACATTATACTGTTATACATATATCTGACGGCTAACCGCCCCTGGCAGCCCAAATTGCATATGAGTTCAATTTAAATTGTCCATTGTGTGACGTCATTGTAATATTACATAATACTGCACAGATGGCCTTTGGAGTTCTTTTGTCGTAACGGTTTGAGGTCGTCGTTTTGATTCTGAAGGCTGATGAAGCAACATCGGACTCCGGTCGTGGGTCGGGGGAGATTCTCAATTCGTTTCCATTCTCCGATGACGACATCGTATACCTCGGCGGAAGCTAAGCTTACTCCGTCCCATCCTCCTACGATGCAGATCTTCTTGTTATGGACAGCAGCGCCCGCGTTTGATCTCGCCACGGTCATCGTAGGGATTGGCGTCCATTGATTGGATTCGAAGTCGTAGACCTTTCCTGTACGTAATGTGTCGTTGCCATCATAACCACCGATACAAAACATCCGGTCGTCAACGACGACCGCACAAGGAAAGGATCTTCTGTCGTGCATTTGAGGCACATCCGTCGCACTCCACTCATCCCTTCAAAATTTAAAGCAAACGCTAATGAGTTCTTTGTACGGTATAATGCAATAGACCTTTCCGGTAATTACGTCACGGCTACATTGTTTTCAACTTAGAACCACCTTGAATGGAATGGATTTCAAGGGTTTTTTTCACTGGCTATGCGCAAAGAAGCAGATCGTCCTTCTTCAACACATGCATGAAAAAGATTTTTATATTTTGACCAATAAATGTGAGACTAAGTTTTAACACGAAAACGAGGCTGAGGGACCATGGCCCCTTTGGGTCCATCAGCCTCGTTTTCGTGTTAAAGCTTATTCCCGCATGTATTGGTCAAAATAATAAATTTTTTATCATGCATGTGTTAAAGAAGTATGTTCTGCTTCTTTGCGCATAGCCAGTGAGAAAAAAACTTGAACTCCATTCCATTTAAGCGTGATTTAAAGGGAAATGGTAATATATTTTTTATTTTCTCATTTGAAAGAACTTTTGAAACTATTTAGTAACTTCTTTCACCGATTCTTCATATCTTGCTTAGTTCTTGAAATATTTTCACTTGAAGAAATGAGATGTCAGCCATCTTGTATAAAATTTTGATCTCATTAACGGTAGTTTTGGTGACGTCACAACAGGGATTAACCATATAAAAGTATTCGTTACTGACCAAATATTGATTGGTAGATGTTTTAAACGTTTCAAGTGATCTTGATATTTCCAACAGCATACAGAGTATAGTTTTGAGTGCAAAATGATTAGTGCTTGTCTAGATAAAAATATTGCGTGACCCCTGTTGTGACGTAACATGCATATCCACAAAAATGCAAGATAACGGACATTTCATTTCTTTCGATTAAAAAATTTGTAGAAGTAAGCAAGATATGAAAAAAACGATAAAAGAGTTTTATACATGGTTTTAAATGTTCTTTCAAACGAGAAAGTAAAAAAATATATTGCCATTTCCCTTTAAAATACGACTATGCAAAGAATACTAATGAGGATGAACAATTATATAGAGAATAATACACGGGTGCTTGGAAATACAACATTTATTTCTCGTGTTGAACATGATATCTCACGAGTGAGCGCACTGTTTATTATATAAAGGACAGTCTTTGAAAAGCGATAATTTTTACGGAAAAGTGATAATTGAAAAGCGATAATTTTCACATGTGAAATTATCTTCAAAAACTCAATAATTCAGGAGGAAAACACAAAGAAAAATCATAAGCGTGTCGTGGTTTTATATGTGATAAAAAATCATGTTAATTTAGATAAACTTTAGCTTTGATTTTCTCGGTTTAGACAAAGTTTATTTTAAAAATTACTTCGCCAATGAACTCGTATAAGATGAGTCGTTTTTGAAGCCATTTAAAGCACTTGTAGTCGTGTTTTATCACATATAAAACACTCCGCTACGCGTCGTGTTTTATATGTGATGAAACACTCCTACGTGTGCTTTAAATAGTACATAAATAATCTCATATGTGAGATTATCAGTTTTATCAGTGCTCGAAATCTCTATAGAGCGCTATACTTTATGTAATAAATAATAATTATAAGTAATAGCATAGTTGCCCGGGTTTCTTTTGTTTCAACAGGGACGTTTAATCACGTATCGCCCGCTGTAGCGGGCGATTAGAACTAATCGCCCGTTACCAAGGGTCACACCTTTGTCTCCCTGACGACTACGCATTAGGCAAGTGCCTCACGCACATAATCGTGCAAGGAACAGCAACAGTTAGCCCAGAGCCGTCAATAGTCTATCATCCGATCCCTGAGTTGCCGCATCATTTAAATTACGCACGTGCAGTCTCCAAATTTATACTAATATATTTAGCGTGTTTGTTGTGGTACGTTAAATGATAGATTGCGCATGCGTAACCGATTAAAGCGTAAAAAGTGCGCATGTGCAACAAGCTTTTACATCCCACAAGCAATGAAGCAAGTGTTTTAGCTTAAATACGCTGATTCCAAGTAGGGCATGTTTGTCCATTTTTAAATGGGAGCGAAACTATGCTATTACAAACTAATAGCATGGCTTTTCGGGAGATTAGTGATTAAATGACCCCTTACCCTCGGCAGGTTTGCGGAATTCCCTCGGGCTTCGCCCTCGGGAATTCCGCAAACCTGCCTCGGGTTACGGGGCCATTTAATCACTAATCTCCCTCAAGCCATGCTATTACTTATAATAATAGCATGGCATTCAGGGCGATTAGTGATTAAATGTACCCGAAAGAGGTTTAGTAAAAGACTTTTACTAAACCTCTCGAGGCTTGAGGGACATTTCATCACTAATCGACCGTAATGCCATGCTATTACTTTGTAATATCATAGTTAACGAGGGAATCGCGCGTGGTGTGTTGCCTGTTTTGAATGCTGTTTGATTGTCTTATGATTGTGGTACGAACAACACCGCGGAAAAACGTCTGCGCATGCACCAAATTATGAAAATATGGCGGGGAATTTGAATATCAATTTCTAAAACAAAAACATGCTTATTAATTGGTCAAAAATTAGTAAAACAAACGAGAAAATATAGCAAATGGGCAGACTAGACATTAATTGAAAGCGTCCTGGCATTTAAAGTATGAAATGAAATATAATTCATGTAAAAAATTGTTGATTTTAACGGACACGACTTCGAAAATTTTTGCAAACTATTATTCAAAACAAAAATTCAAACTCAAAAGTTAAGAAAACTCTCGAAAAGTTAAGCTTCTTAACCCACTTAAATTGTAGAATAAATCCTAAAGTTTAATTATTGTGAACACGAAAATTTTTTTATATTTGGCGACACAGTTTTTTTTAAAGAAATGTATCTCAAACGAAAAGTCGGAAATTGTCGTTGCTTAGTTGATAAACAAAATGTTTCAGACGATAAATTTGTCAACAATCACCTTTAGTTCATGTTCTTGTACAATACAATTTCTTGAACCTTCTGGCTGTATTTATTCCTAGTTTTTAGAATTGCATGTCTATTTTTGCGCTCGAAATCTGGCTGTAAAGACGCACAAGGAAGCCCCTCCATTTTACCGCCATTTTGAGCCTTCGGAACAGCTTCTCCTCAAGTTCGCAATACTATTACCATAGATATAGGAGACCTAACACCGCGGAAAAACGTCTGCGCATGCGTCAACCTTACCTGTAATAGTATTGCGAACTTGATGAGAAGCTGTTCCGAACGTTTCCGAAGGCTCAAAATGGCGGTAAAAAGGAGTGATTTCATTGTGCGTCTTTACAGCCAGATTTCAAGCGCAAAAATAAACATGTCATTCTAAAAACTAGAAATAAATACAGCCAGAAGGTTTAAGAAATTGTATTGTACAAGAACATGAACTAAAGGTGATTATTGACAAAATTATCGTCTGAAACATTTTGTTTATCAACTAAGCAATGACAATTTCCGAATTTTCGTTTGAGATACATTTCTTTAAAAAAAACTGTGTCGCCAAATATAACAAATTTGCGTGTTCACAATAATTAAACTTTAGGATTTATTCTACAATTTGAGTGGGTTAAGAAGCTTAACTTTTCGAGAGTTTTCTTAACTTTTTAGTTTGAATTTTTGTTTTGAATAATTTTGCAAAAATTTTCGAAGTCGTGCCCGTTTAAATCAACATTTTTTTACATGAATTATATTTCATTCCATACTTTAAATGCCAGGACGCTTTCAATTAATGTCTAGTCTACCCATTTGCTATATTTTCTCGTTTGTTTTACTAATTTTTGACCAATTAATAAGCATGTTTTTGTTTTAGAAATTGATATTCAAATTCCCCGCCATATTTTCATAATTTGATGCATGCGCAGACGTTTTTCCGCGGTGTTGGCTGTGACTGGATGATTTAAATTATGCGTATGAAAGTATTCAAATGTTCAGTCATGTATTCGTGTTGTATTGAATAGTAATATGTAATCATGAATGCATGAGTGAACATATTTTAAATCACCAGTCACAGCTACATGTTTTTCTTTAACTGTGATTTTTGCCCGAATTTCGCGATTCGTGTATACTGTATAAGGTTTGTCACGAAAGTCAAATTATGTTTTATTGAGCGAATTTTCGATTAAAAACTACTTTATCAGCCGAAGATTAACTTAATAAATAAGACGGATATTTACAAAAAATATTTACTATAATAAAAAATATTTATTTCTATAAGTGCGTGGTTTTTGTGCTACCCCGTTTATCCAGGCTTGTGACTTTACATATAATGAGCAAATTTCAGCAGCGGACTGACCAGGCGTGCCGTTTGAGTCAAGTAAGATCCTAGTTTATGGGGGCTAGACTGATTTTCATATAAAATGAAATTGCTTTAATTATACAGGGTGTATAAAAAAAAAGGTAATCGAACTTCAGCGCGCTATTATACGTGAATCACTCGGGGTATGAACAATTGGTTTTCATAGTTGGAAAGATCAGGCTCTTAGCTATTGAATGACATGCTTTTCATACCAAGTGGAGAAAAAATAAGCATGTACGAGGCCGATAAAAAATGTTAGTCAAAATCGCATATTTTCACTTCTGTGCCTAATTAAAACAATGCATAACAAAAGAAAAAGCAATTAATCACTAACGTGTCGTAGCTTAGCAAAGATTTATTCCTACTTAATAATAATTATGAATATGTGCGTAGGTTAATGAAGTGAAATTCATCAACTTAAGTACCAACGGGAGTTCATTTTCAATGGTTTTAGACCCAACTCTTAACGGTGAAAATATGCGATTCTGACTAACATTTTTTATCGGATTCGTATTTGCTCATTTTTTATCCATTTGGCATGAAGAAGATATCATTCAACAGCTAAAAGCATGATCTTTCCGAATGTGTTAAAATCTCGTTCATACGCAGAGTAATTCGGATACAATAGCGCGCTGAAGTTCGATTACCTTTTTTTTCAATTGCACATATGGTGAACCGTGGTGCGTGAAATATTGATGGAGTGCATATATTAGAAAAAGGAGACCTTTAGAAATCAACCATTG